GATCGGCACCGGCGGCGGCTCCAACTTCCAGTTCTACCCCTCGGGCTGCAGAGTCACCTGCACCGACATCAACCCCAGCTTCCAGGAGAGCCTGGCCAAGAACATGAAGAAGAACCAGCACCTCCACTACGAGCGTTTCCTGGTGGCCGCAGGGGAGGACCTGCACCAGGTGCCCAGCGGCTCCGTGGACGCCGTGGTCTGTACCCTGGTGCTGTGCTCGGTTCAGAGCGTGAGCGGCACCCTGAGGGAAGTGCTGCGGGTGCTCCGGCCGGTGAGTACCTGCATTAAACCTTTTGCTGCCTTCATCAGCCACTCCAGAGGCACCTTGCCACGAGGAAAGGGGGAAAAACAGTATAAAAAAATTGGTTTTGAGCTTAAAAACCAGACCCGGGTTGGTTCCTGCAGCCATTCTGCACGTGGTACTGGTCAGACCGGTTTAGTCTTAAGAGTAAAATCCTAAAAGCAACACTCTGCTAACTGAAATTGCTTCACAGTCCATCATTTAAAGCAGAATGTGGTGCTGTCCCTTCCCACTCACACGACTTTCCTTGGGTGGGAAGTTCTGATCAAGGCTGAAAGCCTGGATTTTAAATGAACTGCTTCGGCCTCTCTGAAGTGGGGCTGCTCCACCTGCATGACCAGACCAGTCTAATTAAACACCTTCTCCCCTGGAGTTGCAGATTAAAACCACCCTCACAGGGGGAAAATCTCTTCCCAATATCCCATCTAAAATCTGTTCTCTGTCGGTTTGAAAGACAATCCTCTGGGTTGTCAAAAACCGATGGGTTGGAGCAGCATTTACACATTTCTCTTGGTTTTCTTTGGAAAAAAAGTCATGTTAGCAACTAACTGAAACAAAGCCATAACAAGTTATTGCAGGAATAAAAGAGGGATCAAATAAGTCAATACTTTGTGCTTCTTGAATTTCTGCAAGTTTCCTGCTTTCAGTAATTCCAACTGATACAGGGAGGAGAAGAGGGAAAAGGGAAGGGACAGGACAGTGGGAGCTGCTTAGCATGACCCCCACACTCACTGTAAGAGACTCTGTGTTCCCAGGGAGGAGCTTTCTATTTCTTGGAGCACGTGGCCGCCGAGCATTCCAGCTGGAAGTATTTTTGGCAGCAGGTCTGCTTCCCCACTTGGAAACTCGTCTTTGCTGGATGCTGCCTCACGAGAGAGCTCTGGAAGAATCTGGAAGAGGCCAAGTTCTCGGAGCTGAAGGTACAACACATAAGTCTTGCGCTGCCCTGGACGCCCATCGAGCCGCACATCGTGGGGTACGGGGTGAAGTAACCCCTGTCCTGCCAGGCTGCTCCCTGTGCCCCCAAAATTCCTCGTCCTGACCAGCACACCCAGCACGGCACAGGCTCCTCAGCACGCCCCTCTCTCGGTGAAGGACTTAAATCAGAAACTGAATTAAGTGTTAAGTGAGAAGAGAGGGTCTGTTTTCTGAGCGTCTCTGAATCACAGAACTGGTCAGGTTGGAAAAGCCCTTTTGGGTCAGAGTCCAACAGTTAACCCAGCACCAGCACCATGGTCACCACTAACCCACGTCCCCAAGTGCCACATCCACACGTTTTTTGAACATTTCCAGGGATGGTGGCTCCACCACTGCCCTGGGCAGCCTGTTCCAGTGCCTGACAGCCCTTTCCATGAAGAAATTTTTCCTAATCTCTAATCAAACCTCCCCTGGTGGAACTCGAGGCCGTTTCCCTCGTGAAGCCCTGGCACTGCTGACCCTGCCTCGCTGGAGCCCAGTGCAGATAGAGGATCCCAGGAGAACATAAACCAGCCCAGCAGACAGGAAAATAAATGTATTAATGGAAGGGAACTGCTGCCTGTGCCTGGTTAACTCTGGGATGGGATTCCTTCAGGTGTTCCTCACCTGGGATGTGGCCGGGGCTCCACTGGACCCCCTGTCCCCTCCTCACGATCCCTCACGGCTGTTCCTGTTCCTCCTGATGGAACCCGAGTAAACCCCGAACCCCAAACCCTGACCCTTCACCCAGGGGAGGGTGAGATCCCCCCCAAACCTTTGCTCAAGTGAGACCCCTGAGCCTTTGTCCGGGTGACTGTACGACCCCTGAACCTTCACTCAGCTGAGGGTGAGACCCCTAAACCTTCGCCCAAGTGAGAGTGAGGCCCTTGAACCTTTGCCCAGGAGAGGATGAG